AAGTACTTTTAAGCTCTTTTGTTTTGAAAAAGAGAAAAAAGTCTTTACTTCACACTTCTATTCTTATAAAAATTTCCAAAAGTGGCTTTTGTCTGATTGGAACTTTGGGTGTCTGAATAATATCAGATAATAGGTTTGCAAGTTCCTTGGATTTGTTTCTGGCAGATGAGAGTTTAGAGGCTCAACAGATTATTCAGTCATATTTACCAACAAATTCAGAAAAAACATAGCTGCTAATCTCATCTTACTTGTTATGGCTAATATTTGAAAGGTTATACCCTTTCATAGTTAATAATTGGAGAAGCTGATATTCTTCAAATTTGTATAGTCTAAGTCTGACTTTTTTCTCTCTTTCTTTTTTAAAGGCCATTCTTTCATGCCTGGACCTGGTTGATATTCTTGGGTTGATTATGTTGTTTTTGTTTCTGTAAGTAGTTGAAAGTATAGGAAATAAAGATTTTGATAATGGAAATCCTATTGCTAGATTGATATTAGAATTCAATATATTTAAGGAGTTGGCAGGACCATCGAGTTGGGACAGGACAGAGATGCTTTTCTCAGATTGGTATTGATAAGTACTGATTGAGTATTATATTTATATATCTTTAGGTATTAAAAAGTTTAAGTTTATTGTGAATGTGGTTTTGTTTATACATATGTTTGTATTTAATTCAGACATTTTTCAAAAACTGTATTATATTCATATTATTAAGTAACAATTAGTAAATAATTGAAAATTGTATTTAATTTGGAATCATATTGTCAATCAAATTTTCTTTTATAGTAATAAGGAAATATGTATAGTTTTGTTATAGTGTTTTTCAATTGTGAAGAGTTCAGGTGCAGAAATGTAATGGTTTATATACTGTATACTTCCTTTTTAGGAAAAAGATTTTTTCTAGGTGTGTTATGATTTGATTGATTAATAAGTATTATTGTTATTTTTTTAACGATAAGTCTTTTTCAATAGGATGGAAGTTTGATTAGTTAATTTTTATTGTATTTGTATTTAGGTGAAAATTTATTTGAAAATTTTATTTGGTAGAAGTTGATAATTTTGTTAAGGATGTGCTTATTACTAACATGAGCAAGTGTTAAAGATTTGAGTTATTTATCTGGTATGTTGTTTTAATAAGAAATGTTTTTTTCACTCTAGAGATTGATCTTATTATATTGGTTATGTTCCAAGAAACATGCTAGTAGTAGTTCCAGTCTTTTTCTAGGATGAGTTGCATAATAGGATTTTTGAGAGCACTATTGTTTACAAAGATACTTTGGAAGAAGTTTTGAAAGTTAAGAAATTCATTTAGATGTTTGATTAATTTTTTCTTTAAGAATCAATATTCAGGTGGTGAGGCTTTTTTTGTCTTGACTAGGTGAAATTCAATTTGGAGAGTGAGAGATTTTCAGTATTAGGTCTATTACATTGGTAGTAGATATGATCTATCTTGTAGGATAGTTTGGTGGGTATGCAATAGTGAAGAAGCTTAATGAACTAGTCACTGTAATTTGTTTTTGGAATTCAAATAAATAATAGATGTTTGTTGTTTGCTCTTTTCAATTAATATAATATTATGAAGAGTTGATATTGGATTGGTTGGAAATTGATTCAAAGATATGATTATTGTTAGGGCTGATACTGTAGTGAGATTTGCTGTTGTTGGAGTTTGTTTGTTTATGCTTTGAGACATTCTTATTGAGTTGTTATAAAATTAGATATTTTTAGTGAGTGAAGGTATGCTAAAGTATTTTAACATGTATATTACTAGTGCAAGAAGATGTGTTAATGTTTTGATGCTCAATCTGTTATTGTAGTGCTCTATTTGGTGATTTGTTTATATAATTTGCTGCAGTTGACATATAAATGGATAGTTTGATATATAGTTGATATATAATTTGATAACTGACATATAATTTTGATGATTTATGCATGTGTTTGTTGTTGGCTCCACATGTTATTAATTTTGATTGTATGGATTAGCTTTTGTTGTTTTGAGATTGGTATGTGTTTGCACAATCAAGAGTTTGTAGAGAACAAACTAATATTGGTTTTTTAGACTGATTGTATGTATATTAAGAGATTTTTAACTTTGTTTAGTTGATGGAGAGCTTTGAGAATCTTCTAGCCTTTAGGATAGTAACGAGGTTGTCTAATTTATTGGATGTAATTTGGTCTCTAAAGGTTCTTGCAGTGTTAAAAAAGGTATTTAACATAATACTGGCTGGTTGTAGTGATGGAAGTAGTATAAGCTTTTTGAGACCTAACTTTAAATCAGTTGGTTTGCCTTGTATTTTCCCTGGAAGCAAGAAACTTTTTGTTTTGCTTATTGCTTATTGTTCTATAAAATAAAGTAAAGTGTTAGATTGTGCTGTTGTAAAGATATATACCTTTGGTTTTGGATACCTTTTTGAATAATAATTCTTTAGTTATATGTGTTTGAAGAAGATAAAGAGTTTTTGTTACTTTGTAATTAGAAAATTTGAGATGAATGGGAAAGAGTTTTTTTTTATAATTTATATTGTTAGAATAATTATAAAAACAGTTGTGATGTTTTTGTTAAATAAGGTTATGTTGTTATTATAAACAGATTTGAACAGATTTAATTGTTATGTGATGTAATTTTTAAATTTTGGTTAATTGTTAAGTTTTTATTAATTGATTGAAAAGATAAAATGGATTTTATTGTAAAATTTTTGTAGATTTTTGAGTGGTACAAAATTGTATAATATGAAAATAATTGAGAAAATTTGATTAAGACAAGCAAAAAATCTAGTAATTTTGTTTGAATATAATTTTAGAAATAAATTTATGATATGAAGAGTTGATGTAAAGATAATATTTATAATTATTAAAAAAGAAAAATATATAAAGAAAAAGTTATAAAAAAGAACTTTTACAAGCTTTTCTTTATATAACCAAAAAGAAAACAAGACCCTCAAATTTGTTTGGCCTTTAACTAAAAATCACATCTTGATGCAATAGTAATCCTTAAAGTTTTATGTACTTGAGCTTATAGCATAGTTGACATATTGAAAAGAGAGAAGAATGTGCTTCTTTTAAGAAAATTACCATAAAAAAATTTTCAAAAAATTCATAAGTGATATTTTTTTTTCTTTGTTTTCTTTTGTTTCTTTTGTTTTTTTTTTTAAACACTAGCTAGGTCTTGCCTGGTATACTTTATTAGTTTGTGACGTTTACATTAGTTATTTACAGATTTGTATACATTAATGTTATAACTTCACTTCTATTTATATATCGGACTATATCAGGAATACCAAATATCAGCTCTTTTGTTTTTTTTGTTTTTTTTTTTGTATTATTGCTATTATATTACAATATAGCAATAGAATTAAATTTAAATTGCTATTACTATGATACTACCTTTAAACAAATTTTATATTATAATTATATTGCCATAACATTGTTACTACATTATTAAAAAAGGGAATACATTCAGTAAAGAAATTCTATATAATTTTATTGTTAATAAAGTAATAATATTTATTTATAAAATAATAAAGTGATAATAATAATAATAATAATAACAAATTTAATTTCCTGTTTAATTTTTAATAATAAAATTTATCTCTGTGTTTAATTTTTAATAATAAATTTTATTCTTTGTTTTATTTAATTGCAAAATTTATTTTTTCATTTCTTGTTTTGTTTTTAATAAAAAATTTTATTCCAATGTTATTTTTTTTAATTGTCTTTTTATATTTCTTGGCTTTATTTAATTTAACTTAATTATTTAACTTTGCAATATTTTTTTTTCAAATTTTGACCTTTGATTTTAAATTTCTATATACAGTGTAAAGTGGTCTAGTGACTTTAAATGATGTTCCAACGATTGTGTGATAAGGAGATTAAAAAATACAATTAATAATCAATCTTGTTATTTTTATTATCTCTTTATATTTTTTACATTGTTTATTTTTGTCATTTCTTTTATCGTTGTGTAAAACGTAAAGAATGTATTTAATGATATTATGTTAAAGAGAACGAGAGAAATAAATAAATCATCAGATGCTTCTTAAATAAAATAAACTCACCAAATCCATGCCTTTTGTCCATCTTACATCCCTACTCGAAAGGGTTGTTCCGTGCCAACCCAGACCCCGACACTGTATATTTAAAGTTTATGATTTTTTTAATTTATAAGTTGATTTATAATAATAAATTTTCATTCTACTTTTACAAACCCACAATGATATTCGAAAAAATATTATTTTTCTAAAAAAGGTAGGGGCTTGGTTCTAGTGTACGCATTTCTAAACCAAATTTAAAAAGAAGCGAAAACTCGATCGTCAATAACAACTCTGTTTAATAAACAGGTCTCGACATTTGGTCGCAGCAAGAAAATTTAGCTACTGTGTTACAGTATGATTAAAACCACGTGACGCGAAAAATCAGTCATTTTATGAAATTGATTTTAATTTTATTCCATTAATTGTCCCCAAACTATAATTTCTGCAAACTCTTTAGGTACATTATTACGTGATTACACAGCTTGACTTGTAAATTCATTGATTCTGCTTCAAATTTTTGGTTATCCATCTCAATCTCAATTCGCAGGCAAAGATTTCTCATTTTTTCCATGTTTAGAAAGAAACGAAAATTCTACTGTATAATCTTGCTAAAGCCGGTTTTATTGTACTGTAGCAACATTGTCGTTGATTGAAAATTAAAGTTTTATTATTCTAAAACTAGTACAGTACTGCATCTGCTTGTTATGTTATATGATATCTGCGCTGACAAGAAAATTAAAGTTCATTGATTCCAAATTTGAATGTACGACACTTTATTTACTTTTCACGAACATACTGTATACAGTATAAATGAGTTAACAAATTGGTGCAAAATTTTCTTTCCATCGTAATTTAGAACGATAATAAGACATGGAAGAAAAAGCCTATTCAAATACAGGTTCGTTACTTTATCACGAACATGAGTAGTCGTAGAAAAAAATAGTGCAGGGAAAGATATAATCAAAAAAAAAATGCGAGACAATATAGACTACATAGTGGTCCAAATCAGTATCTTGTGAACGAGATATTTTATTAAATTATGTTGGCCATGAATTGATCGTGCATCTAAACAAATATTTTAATTTTTTAAGCTTTAGTAGATTCCACAAATATTCCGAGCCCTATAGGCGACCAAAGTCCTAGTAAGTTCACTTATTTAGGACGAGAAATTGTACTTTTGAGTGAAAAAATCCTAGTCATTTATTATAAAACTAAAATATATTAACTTACGCTAAGTAGTGAAATCCCTCACAACTACGTACCAAAGAATTGATCTCGTTGAAGGCGTGAATGATTCTATGGACCTTTGTAATAAAATCCCCAATTTTTATCGTCTGCTTGATTTTTGCGTAGACACGGGGTCAACTGAATTTGGTGAGGTTTTAATACGCGCTTATAATTATTAGAATACGTTCAATAATTCTTTATTTATTTAGCTGTTGAAAAGATAGTTATTTCGCAAGAATTCTTGAAGAAACTTTGTAATGATATGGTTCCGGGTAGTTATGAATCAACCTCCAAGGTTGATTACGCTTCTTTGAACACAAAGTCACTTGGATTTATAGGAATTTATGGAAGATACGAAGTTATTG